CAATTAAAAGGAAAGAAAAATACAAAATAAACAAAAAATTAAATAAATTGATGCACGACGTACGACGTTCTCTATTAAACTAATTTTTTTTTTTTTTTACCTTTTCTATTCGTTTTTCAAGTTTTTGTTTCAGTGAACTACATGAATGTAGTAATTATTTTTATAGAGCTTCGTTCTTCCTATGGGTCTAGTGACCTCCTTGTTACCTGAGAAATTTTGTGTCTTTATACTCATCTGATGTTTAAAGAACTTCGTTCTTACCGTGGGTCCCATGACCCATTTGTACCCCCTGGTTTGTTTCTTTTAATTTGTTTATAAATTCTATGGTAAATGCCCATTAAAATTACTGTGCAGAACGATAAGCATGGGACTAGGTCATCACTCCGGACTTTTTACCTAACCTTAACAATTTTTACCGTTACGCCCAGTAACAATTATCGGGCGCTCAACAAAAATTTCTCTCATGACTCAGAAGCGAATGCTCACTGTAAGTAAAGCAGAGACAGTAAATAAATTGCATTGTATGTGAAGCAATAAAATTATTATAGTATTATACATTCTTTACTATACTATATACATTTTACATTTTTAAATATCTTATGTATGTCAGACAGTCGGCTTGCAATGTCAAATCAGCTTAGGTTACAAGTGTTTAAATAAATTTAATTGATACAATTGTTGTTTAGAAATATTTATTTCAATAGGTACAATGTTCAACCCGTTACATTAATAAAAAAAAAAAAAATTTAATAATGAGAAGTGATAGCGTACTACAATAAAGTAGTAAAAAAAAATATTTTTTGTCGCATCTTGTACTGACAACAAATACTTTAACTGTGTTCTCTGTTTTACCTACAGTGAACTTTGGCTCGTGAGTCGTGAGGGGAATTTTTGTTGGGCCCGATGATTATTACTGGACGTAACAGTAAAAATTGTTAAGGTTAGGTAAAAAGTCCGGAGTGACGACCTAGTCCCACGTTTCTCGTTCCACACGGTAACTTTTATGGGCATTTACAATAAAATTTATAAAAACTTTCTCTGAGTGTGGTACTACACCGAAGACGTTGGTATCTAAAGCACCTTTTTTTCAGACTCAGTTGTTTTGGTGATCTAAGGTGGGGAGATTGTTTCGTGATGCTTGACCGTTGGAGACTGTCCCGTTTGCTCAAGTTTATTTTTCCTTCGTAGCTGTTAGGTTCTCCCAGAGCAGACCTTGAAGAGGATTTTTTTCTAGTTCGGACAAAAACTACGCCCTTTTTTTGGTCCTAAACGAAGACTATGCCTTTTTTCGGTTCCAGACGAAGACTATGCCCTTTTCCAGAGTTCAGACGAAAACTATGCCATTTTTCTAGTCCGGACGGAAACTGTGTAATTTTTTTCGAATCTGGGCTAAAACTATGCCCGTGTCTGAACGAAAACTAAGTTAAAAAACATTCAAGTATTATTTACTGACTTCTCTTGTGTTGTACTTCCCCTAAAACAAAAACAAACCCTCCAGATTTGCTGATTCATGCTTTTGGTGGCTAACAACTACTACTAGTACGCTAGAAGAAGCTCACGAAAACGAAGCTCCTGAAAACGATTCAACATTTTATATTAAGGTGTTACGATTATTGTGTCCAAGTATCTACGGATGCCTTTGTAAAAAAAACAAAACGTATTCATTATTCTTAGCAGGTATAGCGGCTTCAGGATTTGGAGTTTAAACAAGTGTTTGAAAAAAAGAGCTTTTTTAAATGATTTCGTAAAATGAATATTATAAAAACTTTAGGCAATAACCACCATATAAATATATTTGACTGTGTATCTAATTAGAAACACAAATGTAGGGTGAGTTTAAATGAATTTCATTTCATTTGGGATCCAGAAAAGTTTAACATCTTAGTCTAGACTCGGAGAAAATGGAATAATCTTATCCCACACTAAAAAAAAGGCTATAGCTTTCGTCCAGACTACACAAAAGGGCATAGTCTTAGTCCAGATGCAAAAAAAGGGGCATAGTCTTCGTCTGAGATCCCAAAAAGACATAGTTTTCATCCGGACTAAACCAAAAGGCATAGTTCTTGTCTAAGCTCTGGAAAAGGGCATAGTTTTCGTCCGGGGCGTCGGTATAGGGTCGTCAGTCACCAGGGTTTCCAGCCTTGCGACGAACAACTCTGCTCGTAACGTCTGCCAGTAAATGACTGACATGGTTTAATAGTGGCCGCCCTTACATAGTCTTTTAGTTGACGAAATGTATTTTTTGGCAAAATAGTTTAAACTTAAGTGGTCCTTAAAAAAACCGATAAGATTGATGGTTTAGTAGGAAAGGTAAATGCTTATAATGGCCCTAAAAAGGGCCAGTGACGACACTTTCAGCTATTATTATTCTTGATGATAGAGAGCTAGCTGCGGGTAGCTTGACTTTTACCTTCATATTCTGTGTACGGAGACTATCACGATGTACATATATATGTGTGGATGTATGTATATACAAGTATATGACTGAAGTCCGCAAGAGCCTCAAGTTGCGGCTGACCAATCAGTAGCGGTCCCGCCAGTGTCTCCTCACTCCCTCAAACCTCACTAGAGTCGACGCAGAGGTTGTGCTCTCCCTCGCCAAAATCAGGCAAAAATTCTTGCATGTAAGCAAACGGCCGAGAGCATATTTACATGCGTACAGCTGCTTATAATTGGGACTTGGTCAACGAGAGAGAGAACGGTGATCCACTCCTGCTGTCTCTTTTCTTCAGCTCATCACAAGCATGTATATATATGTTCGAAGCTGTTTGTTTACATGCAAGAATTTTTGCCTAATTTTTACTAGAAAGAGCGCAATCTCTGCATCAGCTCAGAGCGAATACCAAAATTCTTTTTCCTTTGTATGAAACTCTGAACGTCGTGACGTCTAGTGAAGAAAAGGGTGTACTACAAGTAATCTTGTAAACGAAGCGAACGGAGTGTAATTGCATATTACTATAAGTATGATGTTTAGATATTATTTGGCATTTTCAATACCAAACTTTTATTTAAAAAAACAATTTCTAGTTGAAAGACCTTCTCAAATAGTTAAAATCGGAAAATTTTTTTCAATAATCTTAATTTTAGCTTCTTCAATTTATTCTTCCAACCGCAAGTTTTCAGTGCTTGTAAAAGATCCAAGGGTGGTAAAAAAATACTAGCCGTAACTCTCACAAGAATGAAGAAACGTCATGATTTATAGAGATCCAAAGTGTTTTTGTCATATTACTTCCTGGAAAGGGTTTTGTTGGTATTTAAGAAGTGCCATATAGTCAATATTATGTACCAGCCGCAACCTAAGATTGTTGATATAATATAAAAAATAATTATGGTAAAGTGTTATTTGTGACAAGATTAGAGTTTATGTACTGCTCGAAAATTGACTCACAAAAAAATTGACATTTTGTTACAATGATTTGTATTAGAAAATACAGGTACTGTCATTTTCAGTTTCAATAGAGGTGAAAAATGCCTTCCTTTGTCAGAATTTAAAAACCACACCACTCATCTAACGCTATTCATATCAATAATTGCCTTATCTATAAATTTAAATCATTTATAGATAAGTTTAGCGTTAGATTTTGACAAAAAAAGGTAATTTTCCCTCCTTACTGATGAAAACAAGTACAACTTTTGTTTTTAGTACAAATTATTGCAAAAAACGATTGAAAATATATTTGGAAAGGTATTGTTTTTATGGGGGGGGGGGGGG